TTTACAAGTAATTGAAGTCAATGAATCCAATGGGCTTGGAATTAAATCCTATGAACATTCAAATCTCTCCACTCAATTTTACCATGATGCAGGGGGAAAAGAAAAAGAAAAAAGATTTGGGTAGGAATTCTGCTAAATTAACATCATCTGTAGTCTCTGTTCTTAAGGAAGGATGGCTGCTTACTATTGCTTCCTTACTTTGTTCTGATAATACCTTAACAGTTGCACAAATTCACAATACTATCCATGATGGGAAGTGAACTGTTGTTTTTAAAAAATCTCTGCTGCAATTGACTAAACATTTAAAGGTCAATACTTCTCACGTCTGTTTTTGTTATGCTGCAGGCCCATTTTATGAAAGAGAAGCTTCAGATTATTGCTTACGAGGCTATATGTCATCAGAACACTTGATATTTCCCTGTCCGCAGTTGGCAATGACAGCCAGAGATTTGATATATATAACGTAGTCCTATTTTGCTCTGGTAGTTTTATAAGTGTGTTTGATTATCAAGATTGTGGTCATGAAAATTATGTAAATTAAATTATGAAATATTAGTCTTTAGAAATGTATTTGGTAACGATGGCTGCTGCAAAATCTTCACACCAACTGTATGATCCACTCACCCGGCAGACACACTTCCTGCATCTGGAAAATCTTCTCTGCCAAAGGATGTTAGCTGGGCTCAGATAACAAGTGAATTTCAAAGCACAGAGAGGGAGAGTTGGATAAGGAAACTGGAGGCATCCCCTTTCCTCTGCCTCCCCCCACATCCTAATGACCTGCCCATGGAAGCATGTAGGTGAGGCAAACAGCATTTTACGAAGTCTTATTGAAAACATGCACGCGCGCACACACACACACACACACACACACACACACACACATACACAAGCTCACAGTATCAGTGTGCTCTTCAAATCAGGTCCTGAGGACATTTTGGGCTCTGAGGCAGACCCTAAATGATGATGCCCCCTCCCTGCTAGGGAAGAAGGGGTGAGAGAAGAAGTTGCAAGGAGGGAAGAAAGGTCAACATCAGGATCTGCTGCCCCAGGGCTGCCATCTGAGGCAGTCTCTCCACCTTGCCTCATGGATGTGCCAGCCCTGCTCCAGACCACCATCAGTATTTTGTGGAATGGATTCAAGTGCATACCAGTTAAAGATTTGGACAATTAAAAGTGGATTAAAGCTCCGTCATCCTACTGCAAAACAAAAAAAACAAAAAAACCCACCATATTTTTTTTAAATGAAAGACTTTAAAAGTCACAGAGAAATGCATTTAAAATTGTGGGATAAACGAATGATTAATGGGATGACATACAAACACCTTGCAAGCAAATCAAGATGAATGCAGGATGAATGCTCATTGCCATATAACTGTCCTGTAAACAAATCAGAACAAATGTTCAAGAAAGGGTGGACATAATCTAATCACTGTGCAAGCTTTGTGCAAGCAAATCAGGATGAATGCTGAATAAACAGGTTTTCTGGATGACCCCCAAAGAAGATCATGCCCTATGAGTTGTTGTTTTTATTACTTCTACTTCAGAAGCCATCTCTTATAGAATGATCCTGTGCTCCCTAACCATCACGCTCTGTCAATAGAGGCTTAGAAGATCTAGGGCTGGTGTAACAGGGTACAAATTTCCTTGCATGAGAGAGAGAACGCAAGATATTTAAGGCACCGTTGTAACATTTGTTGTATTTCTCAATAAACAAGCAGAACATAGTGGAAATGAATATATTCCTTAAAGCATACAGTGCAGCTGCTGAACCTGCCTCTGGTCCCCAAATAAAAGAGAGCTGCTTCAGCTTCCATCGATTCACAGCCTTTCAAATTCAATCTCTCTCCCTTCAACTTTAGATCCCACCCAAGCAGGTGAATTACCTTCTCAAGCGATTATCCTCTGACCCTTAACTCCTACTGAAGGACTTTCTCTGTTAATTAGCAAACACCGGCTTGACAGTCTGTCAGCAGCCATCTCAGTATTCTTCTGTTCCCCACTTTTTGGAACAGTGAAATGTTTGGGGTAGCCTTTATACAATACATTTATTAAGAGAGGACTCTCAAGATTCATGTTGCTTTTGTAAGAACCCAACTGATTAACAAACTTACAGAGTGAACAATAAGCAACACAGCCAATGTTAGTAAGGCAACATCAGTGCATGAACATAAAATCCAGTCATTTCTCTTAACAAACCAAAAGGTTCCTCCAAGCGCCTGCTGGGGCTGTAATTAACACATGTGAGTGATGGGTGTCTTCCTAATGACTATATGGCTTCCTATGGGCCCGAGGTGTGATCTGAAGGCACATGAAACTACCACTTTGCTAAAGCTAAACAAGTCTAAGTTTTGTCAGTGGCTGGATGAGCACATGCACACCGACTCAGATTCCATGACAGAAGAAAGAGGGGATATAAATATAAGGAAGTGAATTAGGAAGAACTGTGTATTCTAGATATTTGTCTGAAAGGCTCACAATCAAAACAAGTGGTGAAACTCAGAGGTTCCACACATTTAGTGACATCCCCCTTGGAGGGTGACACTGTACAGGCAGCATTCAAGGGGAAGGTCCCATACCTTTGAGCTGGGTCATTATGATATAACAATAGCACAAGTTGCCACTCTGTGTGAAAGGGATAGCTAATGATTTTTGCCAGATTATATTTGTCATCACAAAGCAAATCTTGGAGAAGACAAAGCAAAGCTCTTCAGCTTTAAACCACAGGTGGGAACCTTCAGCCTGTACACCTTATTAAGCCCACCAGACCTCCCCATTTGAGTCTCAAGGTCATTTTGGTGAAGTCACGCCTACCTGCCCTATGCCTGATGTCATATATGATGTCAGGTGTGGGGCAGGTAAAAACCTAGCAAAGCCAAAAGATTGTTTGCTGATCCCAAGCACAGCACATGGTAGTACTTTGAGGAGAGCTTCTGAAGACATCCTCTTGCCCAGCACTTTGAAAGAGGTTTGTGAAGATCTTGGGGGCTAGTCAGCAGAAAACCAAAGTTCTTTAAGTCAGTAATAGAAAATGGAGTTTCATTTGTATCAACAGCAGAGAAATCAAGACATTATATGATAGATATTTAATGCTTTAGTTTTTTTGTTACAAATTTGTGAATTTTAGGGTTCTGACTTTTTCAACTCCTTCTGTATACTTGCTTTTGTGTGTGTTTGGGTGGGTGTAGTCTTGATTTCATTATGACCTGAGTGAAAGCAATAACCTGCAAAATCTCAAGCGGCCTCCTACCATTTCTTCATAAAGGGTCTCGTCCAAGCAAGCCATTTGCGTACATTGTAATAATCGATGCCAGATGATATTTACTGTCCAATTAGTTGACATTTATTTCCAAGAGACTTTATAATGGCCAGCAATTATATAGATGATTTAGCCACATAAAAACCTGAGGTGTACAAGGTCTTCCTTCAGGCACCTCACAAGGCAGTTTGTCACTTTCAACAAGTGGGTGGACTTTTGAAAACCCAGCAGGGCAATTTCAGAACTGTCATCTGAATCTCTGGGAGCATTTTGAAATATGATTTAGCAACAAAAGGGGGAAAGCAAATGAGCTTTGCATGAGCCTCCAGGGACTTCAAATGTTGTGCAAACAAAGGGGGAGCTATTGATTATGGCTTAATATGCCAAAAGAAAAGAATGGGCCTACAGCTATTGCCCAGTCACTTGTGCTGCAGCAAATCAAACCATCCCATCTGTGTGCCAGAACCAATATCTCTAGGTGTCTAGAGCTGAAAGCTCATTACTTAGGTTAGGTTCCTTTGTGGGGCTGTTGCAATCCAGCAGCTTTTGTGTAGTACACAGTGGAGCAATGCGATGTATGCAGAGCTCTGCCCATCAGGGAGCTTCCACTTCTTCATGTCGAAGAAAGTTCTGAGTGTTCAATGGGAATGCAGGCACATGTTGAGCTGCTCCTGAGTCCTGACATCAAAGATCATGGGAAATCCTTTCGTCATGCAGATCTCCATGGCTGCAAAGAAGCACCATCTTATCATTTATCAATGGCAGATTTTACCTTAACATAGCAAACCAAACATTAAGCAGTTCGCGTGTCACAATGGCATGTGCCATTTGTGCAAATTGGTGCCTCTGTGTGGGCACCGTATACACAGCTACCGTGATTTTGGTACTTTCAGGAGCCCAACCCTGCTGGTGCATGGACCCTTTTGTGCATGGATGGTGCTATTTTTGGCTACGTAAGAATCCACACTTGAAGAATGACCTCACTTGAAAATGGTGCCCTTCTACTTTTGATTTTTTTGCCGCTTGCAGTCAAAATGGTATCACCCTCTGATAATAAAAAAGGTAAATCAATAAGAAATTATTTTACATTCTCTGCTAATCTTTGTCCATATTGATAAATGGAGCTAATGAATAAATCATGTTCTTTTGATTTTGTTGTTGTTAAAAAAAGAAGGCAATTCCATCGTGTCGTCTTGTATTGATAAAGAGGGAGTGGAGACCATTCTTCACCATCTCTCTGCTTTTGTGTTTCTTGCATCTCAATCAGCTAACCTCTCTCTCTGTGCACCAGGGTGCATTTCACAGTGTAGGCTTGGATAAAGCTTGGTTTTAAGGAAGGGTTTGTTAGCTATTAAGGATGTTCATTTAGGTTTGGTTCCTCCTGGTGGAACGAGCATCAAAGCAGCTGAAGTGACACATGGGTAGAAGAAATACAGAGGCTGCTCATGCATATCTTTGTTGTAATTCATACAAGTCTACAGTTTAAAATAACCCCAGGGATTTCTGTGAGTTTTAACTGAAATGCATTCACATAATTATTTTAATAGCAGCTGTTAGCACGATCATTCCTCATTATCTTTTAAATATTTTGCTAATGCTTCTTATTTCTTATTTTATTTTAAAGGCGGGCAATGAAGCACAGAAAAATAACTAAAATGCCAGCCAGCAATTCTAGCTGCTGAATAGAAGGCCCAGTGAGGATTGGGATTAAGGGGCCAGATTATAACACAGATGGGCAAGCCCTCCTGTGACACAATGGGTCAGTGTAGCTGGCTGCTAACCAGAAAGTTGGTTGTTCAAGCCCACACAGGAACAGCTATGGGCAGGATTCCTGCATTACAGAGGGTTGGATTAAATGATCCTCATGGTCTCTTCCAACTCTACAATTCTATCATTCTAAGTCAGTAAAGTAAAGGTAAAGGGACCCCTGACCATTAGGTCCAGTCGTGACCGACTCTGGGGTTGCGGCGCTCATCTCGCTTTTATTGGCCGAGGGAGCCGGCGTACAGCTTCCGGGTCTTGTGGCCAGCATGATTAAGCGCTTCTGGCGAACCAGAGCAGCGCACGGAAACGCCGTTTACCCTCCTGCCAGAGCGGTACCTATTTATCTACTTGCACTTTGACGTGCTTTCGAACTGCTAGGTTGGCAGGAGCAGGGACCGAGCAACGGGAGCTCACCCCATCGCGGGGATTCAAACCACCAACCTTCTGATCAGCAAGTCCTAGGCTCTGTGGTTTAACCCACAGCGCCACAGTACAAATTAAAAAATAAAAATAAACCAAGCACACCCGCCCCTTAACAATGTGGAGAAAATGAGAATCTAAGTATTTACAAGGAATGGATGGGAGTGCCACAAAAATATTTACATGAAAGAGCATGAGTTCATCGGCATATACATTTTACACCCGTTTTCACACAGAAAAGTTTAAAAAGAAGAAGAGAGAATAAAAAATAAGACGCTATGTAAATTAAAGAGAAGAGAACACTTGGAGACCACCCAAGACTTTCCTGGGATGGTTCTCTCATGTGGCTCAAAAATGACTCAAGTTTTCTTTCTAAGTCAGTATTGGATGTTTTGTATTGAAACCTTTGTACTGTTCCATCTGGCGACAGAGGTGGGATTCCCAATTTCTTGAAGGCAAGACCTAAAAAATTGCTTTTAAAGTAGTTAATTCACATAGACTTAAGAAGAGCCTGCTGGATCAGGCCAGTGGCCCATCTAGTCCAGTATCCTGTTCCCAAAGTGGCCAACCAGATGCCTGTGGGAAACGTGCAAGTGGGACCTGAGGGAAACAGCACTCTCCCCACAAGAGGGATTTGAAGAAAAATCTCAAGACAGGCTTTGTTTCTTTGTTGATATATCCACTCTTGGGGTGTTAGGGAAGGGGTAGTAGGCTCAAGGATGCGAACAAGGTGCTTGGACCAGTCAAATTGACAACTTGCACTTTGGACCCTTGCCCCTTGTGGCGGATAAAAACTAGCAGGGAGGAGACACCTGACTGGGTCAGAGAGGTGATCTATGCCTCCTTAAAAGAGGGGGTGGTTCCTGCCTGTTTGAAAGTGGCGGTGGTAAAACCACTCCTTAAGAAACCCTCCCTGGACTCAGAAAATGCAAATAACTACTAGCCAGTTGCAAATCTCCCCTTCTTGGGCAAGGTTCCTGAGTGGATGGTTATGGACCAGATCTAGGTGCTCTTGGAGGAAACTGATGTTCTAGATTCATTTCAATCGGGGGTTAGGCCCAGTTTTGGCATAGAAACTGCTTTGTTTGCCGGTGTCTGGGGTGCCAGACAGGGCCAGGGCACAGAGGGTGATAGCTCCTGCTATCCATTTGAAGACCCATTGAGATTGTAAAGGATGGGGAACCTGGGACCTTCCAGATGTTGCTGGACTGTAATGACTGGTGGTTATCCATGCTTGTTGGGGCTGATGGTGGTTGGAGGCCAACAACATTGGCATTCCTACAGGTTTCCACCCCTGCTTTAATCCATCCTGAGAAATTGTGGCCAAGTGTTGAAAACTCCTGATGTGAATGTAGAAAGCAATGACAGAAGGCGCTTCAGATAGAAAAAGCCTCAGAAGCTTTCACATGAAGATGTGACCTGTAAGTAATATTTATATCCACCCACTCTGTGCAGTCCTAATTAAGTCTTGAGCACTGGAGACTGATTTCCATTTCACTGAACCAATGGGATATAAATTTGGTTCCTTTTCTTTAACATGCACACATCAATCGATAGCAAACTAAATAACAAGGATGACAACAAAGGTAAGGCTAAGCAAAGAAAACTCCGAATAATTCAGCTTGAATTGTGTCTCTGTAAACATATAACAGGCAGAAGAGATATAGTCATCCAAGAAAACGGAACGGGGCAGTTTCAGGATTGACAAAAGGAAGTACTTCCTCACTCAGTGCATAGTTAAACTAGGGAATCTGGTAACACAAGATGTGGTGATGACCACCAGCTTGGATGACTTTATAAGAGGGTTTAACAGATTAATGGATAATACGACCATTGATGGCTGCATGATGGCTATATATTATCACCAGTATCAGAGGTTAGGTACCTGTCTCAATACCAATTGTTGGGAATCACAAGTGAGAAGAGTGCTCATGTCCTCCTTCAGGCTTTCCATGGTTGACCTCTCTGGGAGCAGTGTGCTGGCCTGGATGGGACTTTAGTCCAATTCAGCAGGGCTCATTTGTAGTTCTTATACAGAGCAGCTTGTGTATGGTTTTAGAACCAAAAATCCACTTGCATACCAGTGAATCAAACAGTAGGAAATCAGTATTGCCTGTCCCTACTTACTTAAAAAGGTAAAGGTAAAGGGGACGCCTAACAGTTAAGTCCAGTCGCGAACGACTCTAGGGTTGCGGTGCTCATATCGCTTTACAGGCCAAGGGAGCCGGCGTTTGTCCACAAAGTTTTTCCGGGTCATGTGGCCAGCATGACTAAGCCGCTTCTGGTGCAATGGAACACCAAAACCAGAGCAGCACACGGAAACACCGTTTACCTTCCTGCCGGAGTGGTACCTATTAATCTACTCGCACTTTTGAACTGCTAGGTTGGCAGGAGCTGGGACCAAGCAGCAGGAGCTCACCCTATTGAGGGGATTCGAACTGCCGACCTTTTGATCGGCAAGCCCAGGCTCAGTGGTTTAGACCACAGTGCCACCCGCGTCCCTACTTACTTACCTGGCTGCTACTGCTTCCTCTTCCTCCAGCTGGAGAACCCATAACTGGGTGCAAGGGGCAAGAGAGGAGTGAACTAAGTGCACTCAGCTGAATGCTATAACTATACTTTTTTGTCCCCCTCCCCCGCTTTTCTTTCTAACCTAACATTGTATGTAATACTAAAGTCTCACAACAAATGAAACTGATCTGTAGAAAACACAACTTGAAAAAGAGACAAAGCATGTATTTTTGTATACTAAGAAATATTTAATAAAAATATTTTTAAAAAAACAAAACTATATTTTGATTTTTGTGCTTTATTCTGTTCATGCAAACTGACCTGGAAGTTTTGCAGGGTGATATCTAAATCTCTGAAATCAGGGATAGGAAACCTGTGGCTCTCCAGATGTTGCTGAACTGCAGCTCCCAAGACCCTTGACCACTGGCCATGGTAAGCAACAGTCATAGGATTTTCAGTACAACAACATCTGAAGGGCCACAGGTTCCCTATTCCTGTTTTAAATAACTAAACAGGTAAATAAATAAATAGTCCACACATGTACAACAGTATGTACGTGGGTGTTTCTCTCTGCAGTTGGGTAGTCTTTCTCTAGGTTCCCAGTTGCCTGGAGAAAACCCTATGCATGTGCAGATGTACATGTTGTGGATTCTAGGCAAACATTGAGTATAAATGCATGTAGATTCTTCTTTTGGGAGGAGACCTGCCATTATAATATCACTTCTCCATGTTTGTTCACTCATCCTGTGTCTTATAAAGCCAACGGGTAGAACAAGAACAAAAAACAAAAAAGAGATCCCAGTGGTGCCTCTTAAAACCTTTTAAGTCTCTCTTTGGCAGCAGGATCACGCTTCAACCTCCAGATACAATTATAGCCAAGGCAGAGCATAAATGACACCACACCTGAGCTACATAGCACACTTCTGCCTAGTAACAAACTGATGTACACTTGAATTGGTACTTCTAAGAGGGCAAGTAGATGCTTATATTTATTATGTATTTATTTCCTAGAACTTAGTCTGATCCTTCCTCTCAATGGGAGCAAGCATGCAGTGGCTAACAACACAAAGTATCACAATTTCAAAGAGCAATGAAATACTGTTAAAACATCACATCAAACCCAAACATATAAGCAAAACAGCAACATTAGAATCAGAAAAGTATCAGTTGCATTTGAAAGGTCTGGGTAGAGAAGCCAAGAAAGGCAGGCCAACATGGTTCCTCCCTCCAGATATTTCTGGACTACACTTCCCATTATATCTGATCATTGGCTGTACTTGCTGAGGCTGATGGGAGTTCGAGTCCATTAATACCTAGAGGACTTGGCTACCCCTGAAATGAGGCACCATGTTTCTGAATCTCAAAATGGAGTTTGGGCCTTTTAGGAATGAAAGCCACAATGTCAGGCTGGCCAGATCTCAGGCATCACAGTCAATATAAGTCAGGTTCATCATCAAACTATTAACCATTCAAAATATTTTTTGTGGTGGGATTAAATCTAGGTAAAACTGTGGAGGGCTTTCTTATCTCCTACACACACACATACAGATGCGGCAAGTCTATTGCAAACTTTAGCCTAAATATAGTTTTTATAAAGAGATTGTACTAGTTGATGATTCACATTATCCAAAATTAATATCAAATTTCAGACAGCACTGTTGTTGACACCTCCTACACAACTAGTGAAGCTACGTATAACCTGCAACATCCTATTCAGTTATTTTAAGAGCATCTTCATAAAGGAAAATACAACAGAAATTCTCTGAGCGGTGTAGCACAACATCATTATTACAACCGGAGGCAGTTTTAAACTAATTTTAATTCTAACAGTGGTTTTCCTATTAGGGTCAAACCAAGTCTTCACGAAATAGAATTTGCAGTCTGTTCCCTTTCACGCCTCACTTCACACACGGAATTGTCATGAATATATGCAGAGATTCCTCAAACAACAAACAGAGGCGTGCATAAAGCGATTTTAAACAGAAGTGCCACTCAGAGTTTGCCAGTTACTTTCCTTTGCTGTTTCCATCTTGCAGAGTAGGTTTGAAAGTGAAAATGGATCTATAAATAGATTTTGAATTGTGCAAGGTGGGAGCACATTTGCATCCCGGCAAGGAAAA